CCAGCTAACCTCTTTGAACCACCCAAGTGCGCGGCCACCAAAGAAATGATCCGGGAGATTTCTTGCCTCATAATCATGTACAATCATGACAGCCCCCTGGCTCCATTAGTTCTTCAAATACTGGCCATAATACCCCATCTATTCTGTCAGAGGATACACACAAGGACTAAGTGCAAACAAAATGTGGTAGAAATGAAAAGGAGATTTACAATATGGCAGAATGGGGCCCTTGTTGATCTCCTATGCGAAGCAAAAACACTGCAGGAGAGACTAAAATTCATAGAAGACGAAAAGCAAAACACCGAGGATGTTGCCAGAAAATTTGGTAACAAGATGCGTGAGGGAAGTGTCCTTGGCGGTAAGATCTCTCTAAGAGAAATTTTCTGGTGGTGTTCTGCCAATAAACAGGGACACATTACAACAACTGAAGAAAAAACATCCACCTGCAAGTGAAGACGAAGGCATCAGGTTCCAGGGTGCTTATATCCCTCCTAATGCTGTCCTCTTCGAGTAAATAACAGGAGGGATGGTGTGGAAAAAGGCACTGAAGACACAGGGAGGGACTGGCCCTTCAGGGCTGGATGCAGACGGTTGGAGAGTCATCTTCAGCACTAACAAGTTTGGCTCCGTAGCAAGTGATCTCTGCAATGCCATCGCCGCCCTTGCAAGAAAGCTAGTAACCTCGTGCTGCCACCACCTCCATGCTCTGACGGCCTGCCGCCTCATTCCTCTGGATAAAATTCCCGGATGTAGGCCTATAGGAGTGAGGGAAGTGCTGAGGCGGATCATTGGAAAATGCATAATGGAGGTGGTAAATGATGTTGTCAGAGCAGCTGCAGGGAACCTGCATGTATGTGCTGGCCACCAGGCTGGAGGGGAAGCTACCATTTACGCCATGAGAAAGGTATTTGAGTAGCGTAATTGTGAGGCAATACTTCTGGTCGATGCTTCCAACGCGTTCAATATACTCAACCGCAAGGCTGCACTGCACAACATCAAGATCAAGTATCCAAGCTTTTCAATGTATGTTGAAAACACCTATAGGAACCCATCAGACCTCTTTATAACAAGCTTCAAGGCCCTAAGAGGAGATACCACCATACAGTAAACTGATGGAACAACGCAATGGGGATCCTGTCGCCATGGCAATGTACGCACTAGGCCTGTCTGTGCTCCAACATACAATACAATATGAAACAACCGAGGTCAAGCAAGTGGCTTACGCTGATGACCTAACAGGAGCAGGAAAAGTGAAAGATATCAAAAAGTGGTGGGACCTGGTAACATCACGAGGCCACAAATAGGGTACCATCCAAACGCCAGCAAGTCCTTCCTCATTGTGAAGCCAGAACACTCTGAACGGGCAGTGGAGGTGTTCGGTCGAAGTAAGGTCAAAATAACAAAGGATGGCCAAAGACATCTAGGTGCGGTAATTGGCACGAAGGACTTCAAGATCGTGTACGTAACGGGAATGGTGAATGAGTGGGTTAAGGAAATTCAAGCTCTGTGTGATATTGCCAAAATTGAGCGGTAATCACCCATGGAGTCAAGCATCGCTGTAATTATCTGATGCGCACTATCCGCCTTCTGGAAGAAGCCATCAATGTCGCTCTTAACCCAACACTAGTGAGAAACCCTTACTTAACTCAGCAAAAAGGTAACTCCTTGCAATAACACCGATACTAGGAGGAATGGGATTGACTAATCCAGTGGAGCTTGCCCATACAGAACATTAGAACTTTTTCAAGCTCACGGCAGCTCTCACTGAGCACATAATAGATCAGAATGACGCAAGTTAGAAGGATACCAACGAATTAAACAAGATTCGACGGTCCATTACAACAGAGCGGCAACACACCCAAAGTGATAAACTGCAACAATTGTTGCAACAAGTGCCAGAGAACGTGAAAAGAAAAGTAGCTATGGCGCAGGAGGTGTGCGCTTCTAACTGGATAACAACGTTACCGATAAGGGTAAAATGCTTCATGCTTAATAAACAAGAATTCACAGATGTCATTGCTCTAAGGTACGGTATGCCAGTAGAGGTTTGCCCTCCCAATGCGTGTGCGGCTCATCTTAAAACATCGACCACGCCATGGTGTGCAAGGAAGGGAGCTTCGTATGCATGAGGCATGACGAAATAAGGGATCTAACAGCAAATATACTAAGGGAAATCTGCCTCGACGCCATGAACCGCCCCTTCTTTCCACAAGACTTCAAACACATCCAACGAAGCCCATGTGGACGTTAGTGGTCGAGGAATCTGAACGCGGGGACAGCGAGCCTTTTTTGACATAAGGATTTTTTATACCATGGCCGCATGTCACCGCAACTTAGCTATCGATGCTGCACACAGGAGGAACGAGAACGACAAGATAAGG